GGCCTTCAGCATTCCAACTTTTATGTATTACAAGTATTATAAGTGACTCAACCACCTTGAAGTCCCCCATCTCTGAAAAAGCTCATCCCATAGCTCAAAGCATTTTCTTTGCACCTTTTGAACTTTGATAGCTGCAGTCCTACGTTTCTCTGCGCTCTAGCCTTTCGCGCGAGGACCTCTATCAAAAGTTCTAGTTACCATGTAACCTATGATACAGTCCTGTCACTTACTCGCTTCAGCAACTGGTGTAGAACGGTTACAAGGCACCTGTCTACCGGATGACATCTCGCTGTGAGGGTTCAGAGTGTTTTCTCACAGCATTTTCTGTTGGAGCATTTAAACTAAGAGAAATAAGGAAAGCGTATGAGAGCAGGAAGGAAGAGAAAGAAGGATGGAGGAAGGAAAAAGGGAGGACGAGGAAGGCGCCGCGGTTTACAGATGTCCTGAGACCGTGCAGAACGGGTATCTGCGACTGTTCGCCAACCTCGCCCCGCTTGACACGCCCCTTCGTTTGCAGCGAACTGCAAGGGTATACCATGCCGCACCAGATGTTTGCAAGAACTGACTGAAATGCTATCACTACTTGGAACTCACCAGTTTTGATAAGAGGGTGGGTGATATTCAGTTCAGCAAGCGTATCGCCCGCTAACAGTGGTGTTTCACGACTGGTTTAATCTTCTTAGTCGATCAGTGCCTGTGGTTAGTTTATTCAGATGCAAAAGCTTTCACGTCTGTGAAATCTGAACCTAAAGACACATGGCATAGGTCCGAACACAAAGCTGAGTCACTATGACTTATCAGAGAAGAGAAAACTTGGCGATTCTGTTCAAAACGCCTAGCCATCGCTTTCCTTTTCCAAGGATTTACAGTATTAGGCGAGGGGAGACGGGCAAGAGAATCGTAATTCACCGCCTCGCCGCGCGCGGCGAGCGCGACCTTTTCTTGATGTCTGTTAGCCTGTCGATTAGAGCAGCGGATTCCGCGTGGGATACGAAACTGTGGCCATTTCTGAATATTTGCGGTTCTATATTGCCCGTTGTCGCCATCTATGGCGTGGAACCATCGTCCTTTGGGGGCCTATCAGAGGGGCGAATTACGATTCTCTTGACACATACCCTTAGATGTGAGAGGTGAAGAGACATTGCGAGCGCTGACGAAAGACTAGAGACAAAAGATGAGAGAACAGAAAGATTAACGAGATGACAGACATTGCCTCACACAGATGATTTGGAGGCCACTCTATACTTTGAACGCTAGTGGAACGATGTAACATAGCGATAGTGCAATAGCTCGTCAGCTCACAGTAATCCCAAAATTGCACAACTTTTTCTGAACGTGAGCTTCGTTTCAAGCCCATTTTTCCGCGTTTTTTTTTCGCGCTGCAAGGTGCGAAAAAAGCCAAGGGATTCGGGAATCCAAGACAAGAGAGCAAGGACTTGCGGGGAAGGAATCTTGACCAATCCAAAGCTCCTTTCCCTTCTAGGACTAGGCTAAGCGTTTTTCTTGTGCGCTTGTAATATGCTCTACGTGTTCCACACGAAAGCGCCTCGGCTTAGCACTCCAGCGACAAACCGCTTGCATTTGCATATAAAAACCACATATGGATTTTGTTGATTCGAAAAATGGTGTCATTCTAGATAAGATAACTTCGTAATGGATGATCAAGAAGGTTCCCAACCTCCTCACCAAAGTCAACCTATACATACGCATGTGAGTTGCGTGCAATTCGTCGTGCACCGCCAGCTTTGGACGGCGTTCATACTCCGCGACTCTGGTCGTTCAGTCGCGCGATTCCCAAACCCGACTGCGACTGACCACGCTCCACCGCTGATCGGTGGGCTGCTGCAACTCCTAATTCAAACAACGGTCGTTATAAAACGTTTCCGAACTCTGTGGAGATTCGAGGATTAGCGGTGAGGCGCGGTCAGCCCAGTCGCGCGGCTAAATCGCTCGGCTAAATCTGCTTTCGCTAATTTTTTTTGCTGGTCCATGTTGATGGCAGATTACTTTTTGGTAAACCTAAAGCTCCTTAAAGTCACGAGCACACTTTGGTTATAGAGATTCACAGGTATTCACAATGTGGCCTGAACTAGCTCCGCTAAGTATTGTGCCTCCACCAGAAGCGTGCCGTTTTTTCTTTCTTTATTTCTGCGTGGACGGTGTTTTTTTTTGTTATTTCTTTAATTTGATGTTGTTGCAGTATGATTTCCTATGATCGTGAACCCACTGTGAAACCTCTACGTAAATGGAAGGCTCATTCGTTAGCTATTCATGGCTTGTCAGTCACAGATGGAGCTAATCCCCGCGTAAAGAAAAAAAACGGCACGCTTCTGGTGGAGGCACAATACTTAGCGGAGCTAGTTCAGGCCACATTGTGAATACCTGTGAATCTCTATAACCAAAGTGTGCTCGTGACTTTAAGGAGCTTTAGGTTTACCAAAAAAGTAATCTGAGGTTACCAAAAAGTAATCTGCCATCAACATGGACCAGCAAAAAAAATTAGCGAAAGCGCAAAATGCCCCTTCAGAGCCCAATAGCTCCAAAACGGACTCTTCCGAGAACTTTCAGGATCATCATGGAAAAAAAACCTACATTCCTGCCCAGCGCTTGCGCTTATCGTGGCCACATGGGCGTCGTTTAGGAGATCCACGCTGCGACGACGCGCAGAGCAGACTAGCAACGTATGCCCTCGCGAGCTGAATAGATACACTGCAGCACTTTAACGTCAATCCCCGAGTCCTGATGTGAACGTCACACATGTGGTGGTGACGCACGTCACTTCAGCCGCGACATGGATCTCTTTAACGACCCCTCCCCCTCTCCCCAGAGATATTCGACAGGACCATCAGAGGTAATGCTCAAATATCAAGTTCTCATTCACGTCGAACCAGTTCTTTGGCAGACAGTCCGCTAATTTAGTATTACAATAACCGAGAATAAATAAGTGAAAGTTTTTCGAAGCCTTCCCTTCTACTTAGGCAACCCACACGAGCTACATCCCATATCCTGGAGATAGAGGTGGAGAGGGAACGGCTGCGTGCTTCAATTGAGCATGACATAGAATGCCTTTGAAATATTTTCAGAATAGCGATATAGCACCAAAAGCCCAACCGCCAGCACGTACAATTGAAGTGCGCAGACACTCCCCCCCCCATTTCAAGGACACGACGTGTAGCTAATGTAATGAAAAAAAAAAAAAATAAATACCAATAACATGAGCTTACTCAGAAACCAAATAGCAGCTAACTGCTCCATCAGTTGACGCTGTGAATAGAACTGATTCATCAGAAGACAAAGCTAGGCGTGTGACTGATTGATAATGAGCATCAGTGACCGCAAGAAGCTCTCCACTGGTCAACTAAATGTAACTGAGATAACATAATAATAATAATAATAATAATAATAATAATAATAATAATAATAATAATAATAATAATAATAAATAATAATAATAATAATAATAATAATAATAATAATAATAATAATAATAATAATAATAATAATAATAATAATAATAATAATAATAATAATAATAATAATAATAAGGGTCAGTTGCCGTCATTACAGAAGATGCAATCAGCAGTTGAACTCCTACGGGAAGGAGGAATAGTTCCAACCGTAAATCCTTGAGATAGGGGGGAGGGGGGTCACAGCGTATTTTATCCGCACGGAGTAGAATGAGCCGCCTTTGAGATATTTCCGTTTAAAAAATACTATCATCTTGTCTTGGAGTGAGCAAAGACATGATTACACTTTCTCACAAAATTGCAATGTCCCACCAAAAGAGCCACATCCGCTAAGTCGGAATGGAGTGCGCAATCACACCCAGGATATAGCATCGTGATGGGTGAGGTGGTGGTGTAGGTACCTTAACCCCCGACCCAACATCCCCCACATTCACCCAAAAATTTTCCCCGGTCGAGCGGGGGGGGATGGTATATAGCCAGAGTGAGACGGGAGAATGGATTTCCCCAACTTCCTACCACTTTTTCCTAATTCCAAGAAGACTTCCCTACTTTTTTCCTAAAATTTTGCTGTCCAGAAGAGGGAGGGAGAGGAAGTAGGAGGGGGGAGTGGGGGATAGTGCACATAAAACAGGAAAAATCACGCAAAAAGTCAACAACCGGAAAACCAACGCGACAAATTTCTCTCAAAGGCACATACGACCTCCTCTCTCCCAACGACCAAATACGACCCCCCCCCAGAGAAAAAGTACGACCCCTATGTGTTTCACACAAAGATGCTATACCCTGATTACACCGTCCCCTTCTCCTAGGCAGGCTGCATAACCGAGTTATTGCGAGTTATTGAAACTATTCCTCTTCCCGTACGAGTTCAACTGCTGATTGTATTTTCTGTAATGATGGCAATGTAATGTAATAATAACAGTGTAGCATTGTATAGCACTTTTTTGCAATTCAGTTCTTTCACACTACTCGCTATCCGATCGTGCGATCACGACCAGAGCCGCTCCATCGTCAAATGGTGGACCGTTGCAACTGCGGAATTGAAATACCGTCGCGTTCGTGATTTAATTATAGGTTCAGGCTGTCAGAATTGCGCGTAGGATCAATTGTGTTGATCGTGGGTGCACACAATGGGGTTCGCGACTACGTGAACCATATATTTCTGGCATACCGTAACCTGGCTGCCTGAGCGGGTACCTGCCAAGGTCGGGCGAGTCACGACCCGCGTGGCGTCCCATCTTCGGCCCTATCTGCGTACGGTTACGGGGCAGATGTCAACCAGACGATCTCTCGCTGCGAGGGTCCAGGGCTAATTTCACGGGCATCTACCAGTCCAGCAGTTGAAGGGGAAGGTAAAGGAGGATCAG